CCCCCCCCCCCCCCCTCTCTCCAAACGAGCTTGAACTGAATCGCTGTTTTGGACTCTATAATTGGGCCTTATACAATGCCTCGTTGAAGCAACTTTACCCTGCCAAATTAAAGGTCAAACCACATTGAGCCCAATAAAGAGCACATTTTGCCCAACATAGAATGCAGCCGAGGGGGAAGTAGTAGGTGGGTACAGCAGAATCCCCCCCCCCCCCCTCTCTCCAAACGAGCTTGAACTGAATCGCTGTTTTGGACTCTATAATTGGGCCTTATACAATGCCTCGTTGAAGCAACTTTACCCTGCCAAATTAAAGGTCAAACCACATTGAGCCCAATAAAGAGCACATTTTGCCCAACATAGAATGCAGCCGAGGGGGAAGTAGTAGGTGGGTACAGCAGAATTCAGTTGACTGCAAAACCCAATGAAAGTAATTTGGCGGAAGATGCAAATTGGAATGAAGAAAGCAGGTACTACTACCTGGGTAGATTTAGCAGAAACAGTAACAAAATCCATTCAGTTAACTCTTTCTTTGGTTTGTAACATTTAGTCTTAATTCTCTCCTCTTCCTCACACTGTCCCTAAAACCCTAGAATTTCAACATTATATAGACTAAGGTTAATATGAGTCATATCTACTAGAAAATAACAAGAGCCCTATTATAGGTTAAAATTCTTTTATGATAAAAAGAAAATAAGGAAAAAAAAATTGTACATACAAAAACAAAATAACTCTCAACAAGTCTACAAATTAATATCCAAATGAAAACAAAACAGACTTTTAATATCGAAGGTGTGTTATTAAGTAGTCATTAGTGACTAAGCAATAATAAAATACATTCATTCAACAAACCTGATTCCTTGAAATGGCTGATAATATCGCTTCCTTCTCTTTATAAGCAGGTAGGCTGCTACGAAATTCTAGCATTCTTCTTCCTTCTGGCGATTCCTGAAATGGAAAGAGAAGACATTAAAAACATTAAACAATTTTTTTTTGTTTCATGGTTCTCAAAACTCATTAGATAATTTTGCAAATCATTTATGAAGAATTAGCGGCAACACATCTTTATGAAAATAATTGCACTAAAACCTTTTATCTTCTAGAACTTATACAAATAATGAGAAAGGACAAATAACTGAAGCATACAAAGACAATATTTTTATTTTCTGGATAAAAGAAGAAATTCATGAAGACAGAGAGTTTCCTCCAAGAAGAAATTCATGAAAACCATAATTTTGTATTTTCAGTGAAGATGACCTGCCAAGCTCGTTGCTGATCACGCATTTGTAAACTTCTCTGGCGTAGAATTTTCTCCCCTACAGCCCTACTGGATGCTAGTGACTGATGTGGGTCAAAAAGCCCTTCATCTGTACCAATACTACCACTATTGCTTTGTTTTGCAGACCACAAATCTGTAAAGCTTTCCTTCATTCTTGACTTTTGGCTTAGGTATTCTTGAAGGTATCCATCAACTCGCCTTAACAAAGAATTAGGTAGGTTCACCTGTCAATTCTTGAAGCTTTTACTCAAGCGTCTCTAAAAGACAGAGATAGTTAAGTTTTCAAATGATATAAAAGAAGCAGTTACAAACTTCTAAATTCTTTATCATTTTAAGAACAGACAAACCAAGAAAAGGAGAACACTTCTAACAACTTTTGTTTAGAGCTTGTTTGGATACAAGCTAGAGCCTAGAAGTGTTTTTCAGAGCTTCTCAACTCAAAATAAAGAGTTATGTCCAATAAAAAAAAATACCCTCGAAAGCACTTCTAAGTTTATATCTAAACCGACTCTTAATCTTTAATGCTTGTCCTCCTCAAATGATTCAGAAAAGTCCAGAGAAGACATGGAACATGATCAACATACCTCCCTCAGCGGGCGTTTATCGTCCAAATCATATCTGTAGTTTGGAAGTGGCACTTTACTGACAACAACTACCTTCGCATACATATTGCTGCCATATATAAATGCAGTTGAGATCCCCCACAAAGCAAGAATAATAAAAAAAAATTCTATAAAGAAGTTCTCAAAAACACTTATAAGGGTAAGAAAAATACCTATACAACCCCATTCTGGTTGCCAAAGCCTCTATCTGCTGAAAATGACGTCTATCCTTTTTCTCCCTCGAGATCAACTCTTGCCTATTCTTGTCATCTAAAAGCATGCTCAATTTCTGCCTCCACTCATCGCTGGGGAAAACACTCTGAAAAACAATTTATCAGCACAAACGAAACTTACAAAAGAATTGAGCGGGAAAAGGGCCAAAGAGAGAGTGGAGAGAAGAAAATCACAACATGAAAGGCTGAAAGTATAACGAGCGTTGTATTGAAAATAATCTCACTAGTAGTGAAGAAGCCCCAAATTCAGCATCACAATTAACCCCATTCTCAGCAGCAACATGATCAACACCGTGAGAATTCATGGCGAGAATTGGAATGTGAGAAGAGGACATGCAAATATGCAATGCAAGCCTGAGTTTGGAAAAATAAATGATGGGTACAAATAAAAGTAAATAAAAATACCCTTTTTCTCTATTCTCACCCCAGTCAAATACTTTCAACACTTCAATGACGTCGCAGTACACGTTTCTCTTCTATTTCTCCCATGTTACATTACATCATCTATACTTCTATATACTATATATTTTTAGTGTAAATTGTTTTTAATCAATTTATTTTTGTAACTTTTAAAGTATTTTATTTTTGTTTTTTATTTAATTTTATTGCACCCTTAGCTAATTACTTGAAATTAAGTGCTAATCATTCTCTCATATTTAACTTTAAATATGTTTATCATTTATTTTATTTTACATGACATATACATAGGGACGAAATGTATTTTTAAATATGTCTTTTAATTTTGTTATCTAGTATATTATTTTTATTAACTTCTTTATATTTTTAATATATGATAAATAATATGTCTAAAGTCTAATTGATTGTTCACTTATACCATTTTATCTTAGTAAAAAAAGGATAAAAAGAAAAACGGATTGAATTGATTGTCTTATTTTAGAGAAGATGTCAAATATCAAATTCATAAAATGTCTTTGGAGGAAAGAAAAAGAAGAAAGAGGAAAAAGGGGGAAAATAATAATTGACATAAAGACATTGATCTTTCTTATAATTAATTCCCTACTATGAAAATGAATATATCAATGGTATAGCATGTCAATTGACATTAGTTTTGAACTAGCATTAATTTTTGAAGCATGTATTTAATTAACTTGCATAAAAAGTTGTTTTATGTGTCCTGTCACTATTTCCTTTTATCTCACTATTTCTTTCTTATTCTTCCTAAAAGAAATAGAGTCAATCTCAATAACAAGACTTAAGCCTTTTGAATGATTCTCAATCAATAAGTTTTGCAATAGGAAATTTTGAAGCTTTCTTAACAAGTTCAATTTATCATCTTTTGGTATTCATTCAGCCACTGCCACATTTGTTTTAGATAAGTCTTTAGAGTAAAGAGAGTTTTGGTGTTCTATCTTAGCCTTTTTTTATGTACTAAGCACACACACACAAACTCAACTATGTCTTTCTTCATCTTAGGCCACCAAGTATCTTTCTAAGGTCTTGATATATCTTAGTGCCACCTGGGACTCCTATGTCCCTCTTCTACGATTAACTTTTTAAGATCAGGGTCATTAGGCATGCAAACCATATCTTTAAACTTCAACACTCTATCATCTCTTATATTAAACTTGTCACCCATTTCTTGACCAATAACTTCCACTTTAGTCATCAAAAATTGATCAATCTTTTGACCTTCCTGATGGCATCCTAGCTTGCATGAACTTGATATGATCAACAAAGAATAGGACGCCTTCTCCAAGGATCAAGTTCTTCAAAGGTGGCACAAGGTTTTAGGGTGGATGATGATGGAATGGACGAAAATGGAGGTTGGGTAGAAGGTGTTTGAGGAAATGCTTGAGAAGGGTACTCTAGGGTTGGCTCACTTCATGATGATGAAGGCCACTTCTAGGGTTGTTTCTCTCAAGGTGGAGATGGGAGGGAGGTGGCCGAATTAGCCAAGGGTGACTAAGGAAAGATATAAAGGCACAAAAGGCTCTCTTTATATTCAATATCCAAAGTATTTACAAGGTGTGGTGCCTAGGGTATTTATAGGAGTGGGAGGCATCTAGGGTTGCATTTAGGGTGCCAAATGCACACCAAATGAAACCCAAATTAACCCTAGATGCAACTTGGTGGCCAAGGATGGAATCTTTGGATTTAGTTAGGCTACATTTAGGTGCATGATAAGACCATGCAACCTTTGCGCTCCACTTGGGCCTAAGCCTTTCTAACACCAAAAATAGGTCCAATAGCCACAAAAATATGTCTAGGTTTTTGTTCCCACCCTAATCAAATACCTTAACCCAAAAATAAAATCCTATGATCTAAAGCACCCCATAATACAAGGGTAAAATGGGAAATAGAAAAGAAAATAAATCCTATGACTAAGATACCCCAAAATACAAGGGTAAATATGGAAATACAAGTAAAATAAATTCTGAGACTAAAATACCCTAAGATACAAGGGTAAAATAGGAAATCAAAGAAAAGGGCA